CGCTCAGCAGGACAATGAGTGTGCCGTAGTCTTGGAAGGACAAAGATAAGGCAATACACTCAATTAGGAGGTCATTTAATCGAGACAATGAGACATTAATCAATTGCAAACAATCTAAGGCATATCTTAGTGATTAGGATCAAGGCAAGGGCATCATTTGCTTGCCTCATCCAGCTTGACCACAAAGGGTATCATTTGCTTGCCTTAGTTGGCTTGACCACAAAGTGCTAGAAAATTAGACTATGAAGCACTGACACTCAAAACAAGTGACGGAGTGGTGTTAGACACAGGTACATGGCAAGGACACGGGGACCAATATGGGACACACTGCGTGGTGTGTCTCTTTATTTAATAAATTTGTTCATAGGGTACATGTCAGGTAGACATTGGGAAGCTAACTAGTTTTTTTCCACCAATTCTTTAGTGTTCTTTTATGAATATTGGATACTAGATGTTGAATGTTTATTATTTTTTGCTTAGATTTAAATAATTAATAGATAATTTATTAAAAAAAGAATCAAAAAATTAAAAACCACATAAACAATAAGAGTTAACTTAATGAGTGTTTTTTTTACATAATTATATTGAATTAGTGTTAATTTTTGTTAATTTTGATTGTTTGTAGATGTAATATTAATCTACGTAATAAATAAAAATATATTTTTTTAAAACAATTGAGATTAGGTTGTGGCCTTTGAGATTAGGGTTATCGCTCTAGTGATCTTCCAATCCTTTATTCTCTCTTCTCTTCCAATGTAATGTTCAACATCATTTTGCTATCAGAGAAACCATCAAGTCATTGTTACAAACTTGCACTGTTAACACCGAGCTCTACAGCCAACATGGTCATGCGACCTTATTCGTCACCGCCACTCACCGTCTCAAAACCTAGTGCTCCTGCCACCCTCCTCTCCCTTGTCATTGCCAACGCGAGCCAAGATCCACCGCAAAGAGATCAGTCACTATTGTCATTGCATCGCATCCTTCCATTGCAATACTTCTCCATCGTGAAGATGACTGCAAGCTACAAGCTCTTGTCATGATCCTTCTCTTCCAATCGATAAAGTCTGCTCTACTACCAATGAAGACATCATCTGCCAAAGACAACCAGCAACAAGTTTTCTTTGACCTTTGTCTAACCCACTTTGTCTTGGTTCAACATAAACCCATTACCACTAACCCACTAATTAAAATAAGCCCGCCACTCCAAAAAATAAAACCCACACCCATATCCAACCCATCAACTTCTGACCCAATAAACAAAGCCCAAGCCAACAAATAAAACACAAGTAGCCAAGTCTCCCAACCCACTCATTAAACCTAGCCAACCAATCCCAACCCATATCAAATAAAGCCTTAGCCCACCCCAAGTAATCCACAAACCCAAATTATACTAAGCCAATCTGGAAGACTGAAACAAAAAAAAATATAATAAAACAAGCCAGTGGCCCTTTAGTCAGCTTTCTTTTTTATAAACCCAAACAAACAAACCAACCCACAACAGTGCATCATCAGCCCCCATAACAACCCTTTTAAAACCAGGCCCAAACAACCAGCTCAAATTAATTTGCCTACACCAAACTAGTCAACCCATATTCATCCAACTCAGACCAACCAAAAAAAAAAAAAAACAGCCCAGTTCAAATTTATTACAAATAAATAAATAAACTCTCTATCCTATTTACTTCCTTTGTTTCATTCTTATTACCATCATGATGACCAACTCAGAGTTGTATTCAAAATTTGAAATCTATTTTCAAGGCCGACGAGAGTTGAATTCAGAGTTTGAAGTCTTTACACAAGGCCAATAGAAGTAAGGCAAAGTTGTAGGCAAATGATAAATCGAAATGCGCAAACATTCAGAGCAAATTATTTAGATCAAAGCCACTTTGGATAAATTATTAGCCTATGTTTCAGGAAATACTTTAGTAATTCCTCAAAATGCTTGTGAGGATCATGTGAAAACTATTGATAACCGCTGAGGAAAGCAAAATTATTTTGGAAGAAAATTCAAAAGATATTGAAGTCTCGGATGTCGTAATTGCAATGCAAGAAAATCTCATGCAGGAAGTAGGTCTACCAAAATAAGAGCTTGCATATGTAGATGTACTCAAATCGTCAAATCTTATCGATGCGCCACCAATCGATTATTTCATCACAATAGAGAAAATTAATTTTATTGGTGTAGAAGATTTTCTATTCATTTTCAATCTAAGCTTAATGAAATGAACCTCATCAACACTTTGAGAACTGATATCGATTGTCCTGGGAAGAAAATAAAGCAACTCACAAAATTTGAATTATTTGATTCATTGGAGTGCATGGAGATTTATTTCTTGTTTTTCTATATAATTTTATGCCAATAGTATTTTATTTATTTTCTTTTAAATTTTAATTCTAGTTTAATTAGAAATTTTATTGATATTTGGTTTCCTACTTTATTAGGATTTTAGGGTGTGTTTGATTGGACGGACTGGAAAATGGAGGATTAGAATCCATCGGACTTGAGTCCTGAGACTGTGAATCCCCCGGACTATTTGGTCGGATTGGATATGTATCCTGTGTTTGTTTTTTCATGGGATTAGATGTCTGGATAGGACTATTTTCAGTGAATCCAACGTTTGGTTGGACGGACTGGATAGGATAAATGAACAAAAGACTATTTTACCCTTTTTCAATTGTTTACTATAATTAACAATTAACAAATGTAGATGTAATCAAATGTTGATGTATTAAAACATAATTTAATAGATGTTAAATAAATATACATGTTGATGTACAGATGTTGAAATAATTTAATAAACATGTTGATGTACAAATGTTTAAATGTTTAAATAAAACATAATTTAAATAAATGAAATTATTTATTGTTGAAATTAAACATTTAATTGTTTAAATAAAACATCTATTAAAACATCTATTAAATTTAAACAATGAAATTAAATAAAACATAAACAAAATTTTAAAATAAAACATCAATAAAATATCTATAAAAAATTATTTTAAAAAATTAAATAAATAAAACATTAATAAAAAGTTAAATAAAATTATTTTATTTTTAAATTGAGACATTTAAATTTTATTGAATTTTATTAAATATAATACATAATTAAATAGTAGAGGGTCAAAATGGTCATTTTACCACCTAATTCCAACAGTAAATAGTCCCATGGAAATAATCTCACCCCCCCCCAAGATACAATAGTCCCTCATATGAAGGATATGGAGTTTGGCCTGACTCCATGTCCGGCGGACTAAAAAAAAATCAAACGGCGGATAAGGAACATTATTTGGATTGTAATCCAAATAGTGGATAGTACCCCCCTCCAATCCCCCCAATCAAACACGCCCAGTTTCCTATTTTAAATTAGAAATTTTAGACTACTATGTTTTGTTTTGTAACATTTAGCTTGAATTAATGATATTAGAGTTGTGGCCCTTGTGTTCTCCCTCACCATTCCCTCTTCTCCTCCTCTGTAGTATTCTACACCACAAGCCTTTGGTCCTGGCCTCCAAGCCACAATCTTCCAGCGATCCTAAGCCATAGAAACCTAGACCCTTTTTCAAGCATAGGATGCCAACGTTATGATAATGAAGATGGTAAAGTAGAAGTCCTAACCAGAGAGTGTAAGACACCAGGAAGACAGCCAAACTAAGAACCAAACATGCAACTACCAAGTACGAGTAACTGAGCAGAGGTTCATCAGCCTAGCCCAGCACTACTTCTAACCACTCCTCAAATGCCTATGGAATAATGGGAATGAGGCAAGAACAGCAATGGCTTGGCAAGAGCTCACTCTAGCCAAGCTATTGAGTGTCAATCCATGGCCCTGCTAAGTGGACTTGGCCAAGAAGAGATGGCTCGGCTTGGTTAGGTTGAGCTGTCCCCTTGGCTTTGCCTTAAGGATCTCCATACTAACACATTCAAGAGACACTTTGACCAATAACAAGGGCGAGGACCGTCCTAATGGGCCAAGCTACCATACTTGGTAGTTGATGTACCCTTGCATAGGCTATGGACATTATCCTAATGAACTACACAGAAGATGTTGTGGCATCCTCAAGGACCTACCACATGGAGGGAGAAAACCCTTACATAGGAGATGACATAACACCCATGGGGTTGGCCACATAGTGGGAGTGATCCATATACCCACAACAATCATGGGAGATGCCAATGTCGAGATGACATGGTCATATCATGTGACGGAGTTGGACACTCATACCTACACAAGTCAACAAATGATGAAGCATATATTGATAGTTATACATATTAACTAAGAATCACAAACACTGCTATGGAGAAGATATGTCGTGTCAAACACCCATGCTGAACACCACCACCATTATGGAGACTCCTAAAAGCGTGTCTGACAGTTCTTCAACGTGCCTTCATTAAAAAAATTAAATTCATAATATCAAACATTTTACAGACACCTCACAAACACTTCAACCACACTTCTTAAACCCTCCAAAATTAACCTATGTGATGAATCTTTTCATAGTAATAATGTTTTACATTCTTCATAACGTAACTTGTGCACTATAAATATGTTTGGAAACATTCGTAAAACAAATACATCATATTTATTTCATTGTTTTACAATTGTTTTGCATTCTTTAAAATAAATTTGTTATGTGACGATACATTGGTGTTTAAGATATGAAATATATAGCTTTTAAATTTTAGTCAGTATTCTGTAACTTTTTCATTAGCTTTGAAAAAGTTATTCATAGATTCGATATACAGTAAATTCATAAAAATATAAATTTATATTCTGTCCCAGATGTATCGTGTCATGCCCTTTTTGAAAATCAATGTGCCTACATGAAAATCAATGTGTCAGCATTTCACATGTCCTTGTATGTGGCCCATTAACCTACACCATGCCCAAGACAAAGCTTTATGCATGTCTACACATTAAAGTTATGCAAAAAAAAATATAGAGAGACAAATATAATTATAAAAAAATAGTGAAAATTAGATTTCAATCACTAACCTCATGGCCATGAAGCTTACGGACACATCTTGAACATTGTTTATCACAGATGACGAGTAGCTCATTGGCTTTATGATCTCAGTGATGGTAGACATATTTTTTGAGTTAACAAACTCATTCTTGTTACTGAAATCATTCCCCATAAAATCAGGATTTTGACTCCCCCGCCATCCAGCTCTTCCACAAGGGCCATCAGTGGTTCTTGTTGTTGCATTTTGTGCTTCACTTGGTAAACTTGAGGCTGAATTTTGCTTAAACCTTTGGACAGAACCAGACTTCCTCCTTTTAGCTCCAGTGAAGCGTCCAGGTTGAACTTGTTTCACACAATCAACCTTCGACAATCCATTGGCAGAACCATCTCCTTCTAAATCATGGGCTTCTTGGTAACGTACTGAACACTTGCTTACTGTTTCCTCATAGGTAGCCATTGTTCCTCTAAGTTCACTAAGCTTTAAATTCAATTCATTTTGATCTTCCATTTCTTCAATTTGTGTGGGCACTGCTCCAAACCCACTCTCTTTTGTTTGCTTTGACGACTCAACATTATTGGCAGCCCACAAATATCTCTCGCCCGCATTGGCCAGGCTCAAGTCGTCAGGAGGAACCATGGGCAATGGTTCTTCAATAATTCTCACTTTGACAGCAGGTACATTATAGGTAGCTGCGGCGGGAGAAGTCCGTTGCTTCTTCTTGGGTTGAGTGTGAGTAACCCCATGCTTGCGCTTGCGTCTACGTGAAGACCTATGGTTCCCCGATTGCAAGCTTCAACAAAAATACGAGAAAGAAAAGAAGGTGGTGTCAAACGAGAACATAGCAAGTAAACGGGTTCTGAATATTTTGATTCCCAAGCTAGAATTACTAACTCAAAATTAAATCAAGATTAAAAATGAGGGAAATAGAGGGAACCTCTCTTCAAATGCATCAATAACATCAGAACAAAACAGAAGATTCTCTATGGGCTCCCAGGTGTTTGCTGTCTCTGGCCATCCACGCCTTCAAAAGATAGAAATATTTTTAATGATTAGAATCAGCTCCAATCACTTCATCATTCTTGTATCAAATCAAATAAAGGGAGAGGCGAAATTTTCACCAAATTTCCAACAGTCATAATTTTTCTCAAATTCGGTGAAATTTTAAAAAGAGTAAGGGTTGGAGATGATTTTCTGTCATAAAAAAATAGTCAAAACTGGTTTTTAGTATAAGTTTGGAAATTTTCAAAAAGGTTAGATGAAAAATTAAAAAAAATTAAAAAAGAGAGAGAGAGAGAGTAAGAATACCATGTTTGGTTTAGTTTTTAGAAATTTGTTTCAGAAAATTTTCCTAAAAAATTAAAAATTAATTTGGTAAAAGAAATAAAAAAATAAAAAACACTTATTATTTTTATATAATTTTATCTTTTGGAGGTCAGAAATAATTTCTAAAAATTTAAAATAATATTTTTTATATTTATTTATATCAAACTAGTTTCCATTTTTTTTTTTTTAGCCTTTCATTTGCTTCTCTTCAATAGAAATTTTATTTTTCCAGAGTGTATCCTAATTTTTGGCCTAGTTCTTCTTTTGATGATCAATTCAACGTCTAATCAAAAAGATATATCTTGGTTATATTTCATCTCTTCAACAAGTTTAGTAATTATGAGGTATATTCATTACCAAATAAAAATGAGAATTTTCAAAAATACTATTGATATAATCTTTTATCTTATAGATCTATTAATTATGAAAATAAGAGAGACCCATATATACGAATCACCATTCCAAGTAAATAAGAATAAGGGCAAATTTTTTTATATACTAGGGGATATCCCTATCAAAAATTATTTAGGAAAAAGTGGTATTATGTATATGGAAAAAAATCCAGATCGAAAATATTTTGATTGGAAAATTCTCCATTTTTATATTTTTGATATTTATTTATTTGATCGACACTGGGAGTGTCCAAATCAAAACTCGACTAATCCCTAGGTGCCCAAGCCCTTGGCAAGGAGTTTCTCACAAGTATGCCACGGTTAATTCAAGGTTTTCCCTAGCCCGATGGATCAAGGAATTATCAGCACCTAAGAGCTTTCAATCCTGAACCTTGGAGAGAGCATAACCTCACGACTCAAGGCCTTGCCACTAGGCCACCCCCTTGGGGCTATTATTGATATAGATTTTTATCAAACTAGTTTCCAGTTTTTCAAAAAAAAAAAAATTCTGGAACACAAACAAAACAAAGCCACAGTGTTTCCTATCGTATCAAGCTTTCAATTAAATTTTGAATCAAAATTGATCTCAAATTTTCAATGTAGGTATATACACAAACATATATAGATATATACAAGTTAGGGCACGCACCATTTGATGAGATATTGAGCTTCACCCTTTTGTTGCAGCATTCCAGACAAACCCCCCCACAAAATCAGCCAAATAAAAAAAAATCGTCATTAACCAAAGAAAAAAAGCACATCTTTTAAGTACGAGAGAGAGAGAGAGAGAGAGAGAGACTGACCTTGCGAACCCTTTTCTTACGCACAGCTTCAATCTCGTAAAAGTCCTCGGCGAGCTTGGGACGCTCGGTGTCATCAGCCTCTCCATCGTCATCGATTTCGAGGTGATCGAATTTGTCGTGACCCTTTTCTCCCTCTTCCTCCTCCCCCTCCTCTTCCTCTTCCTCTTCCTCTCCATCTTCGCCGCCCTCTTCTCCGCTTCCGTCTCCTTTTTCTACCCGTTGCTCCTCCACCACTGTCTCCGAAACCGCGGCCTCATCATCGCCGCCATGAGCCGCCTTTCCATCTGCTTCTTCTCCGCCGTCGGCGACGGGAAGCGGTAATGGCAGCTGCACGGCGTCAATAGCAGTGATTTCTCCACCGATTTTCTTCTTCACTCCCTTCATCTCTCTCTCTCTCTCTCTCTCTCTCTACAGGTAGCTATACGTTTACATTCCTGTATGTATATATATAGTCGAAATGCTTTGAAGGCGAATTTTTGAAATGGGTTTGACTCACGTTGTCATCTCTCAACAATTTGAGAGATTGTTGTGGTTTGTTAGAGTTATTTTGGAGTTATTTGACATGATTTTAATAAGTATATTTTTATTTTTTTTTAAAGAGATGGGTAGAAAAATAAAAAAATAATATAATTTAAATAAGTGTACTTATTTAAATAAGTGTACTTGTATCCATCATGCCAAATAATTCTTTAAATTATTTATTTTTTAAATTTATTGAATTAAATATTTATGTAAAAAATTAAGATGATCAAGTATTAAAAAATAAATGATCATATTTTTTTTAGTTGAAAATGATTATAGTTTGGATATGACATTTTGTCTTATTGATTTTGAACTTATTTTAAGAGTGTTTAAGATAATCTAAATAAGTATATTTTTTTATTTTTTATAAAAATATGTACAAAAAAATAAAAATATGATATAATTAAAAAAATATTTTAAAAAAAATGTGCTATAATATAAGGAATGCCAAATAGTACTTTTTTTTCTTTTTAATAGGCTAAATTAGTTCCAACTATATTACCAAGCGAGACTTTAAAGATTAAAAATGGAAAACTCACTTAAAAATTTAGACTAATGTTCTAATGTTAATTTGTCATTTTTTTTCCATGATTAGATTGGTTACATCTGAAGTTTCTTAGTAATACAATCGCGAAAGAGTTGGTTACAACTCAAGTTTCGTATTAATACAATCATGACACATCATATAATAAATTAGGTCACTCTAACCAGCCGTCCAAGTATGAAATTTTTAGAACAATTGTCGTAAAAAAATTAAGTGACTTTAAATGTATTTACAACTTTGATTAGAGACTTCTATTTCCAAAAATAATAGTAATAATACCATTTTATTCCCAAATTAAATTACCAAAAAAGTCCAAATGTTAACCTTATATAGCGATCCTGGTTTCCCTTTTCTTTACTTGTTATATACAGACTTAGGTTCCGTGGAGCTGGTTGTTGAGAGTATGTTGTTTGCACCCTTTAATCCTTATTTTGAGTCTTGGGTTGTGTTGGGAAGATTTGGAGCAGGTTGGCTGAGTTTAGGAACCAAGTCTGGTTGCCCAGATTTTGGCTTGTCCGCTCGAGCGGGGGTTTGGACGCTCGAGTGGGGAATACACCCATCCAGTATGTCCTGTGTAATGTTGGCCGCTCGAGCAGGGGATTGGACGCTCGAGCGGGAAGTCGTGAGTGACGCTCGAGCGGGGAGTTGGGAGCTCGAGCGGGGACCTGTCTGCAAAAACTTCTGGGAGTGTGCATTCGCCGCTCGAGCGGGAGTTTGGCCGCTCGAGCGGGAGTCTGTGAGTGGCGCTCGAGCGGGGGTTTCCACGCTCGAGCGGGGCGACTGGTATAAAAATCTGAGATCCGACTTTCAGGATCATTTTTCATCTCCTTTTTGATTTTAAAACCCTAGAACCGTCTTCTCCCTCTCCCTACACACCTTCTCTCTTAGGTTTGATCTACTTAGAGTGTATTTCTACCCTAAGTATTTGGAGGCATTATCTTTATGGTGAGAGGTTCGAGGTGTTCTCGGATCATAAGAGTCTGAAATATTTTGATATGTTGGGGATACTTTGGTAATTTTGGGAAAAACCCTAGTTGTATTAATAAATTAATTTGTATAATTAATTCATGGAATTGGGGAATTCATTGATTAAATGGCGTAGTTGGTTAATTTAAATCACTCGTCTATCGAATTGCTGGTATATTTATTTCCAAGTCTAGAAATAACTGTCTTGGGCTATCGGCGGAGGATAGCCGTGCTTGTTGTAGACACTGCATGTGGATTAGGGATAACTGAAACTAATCATTGATTAAGTCATCAATTTTTGACTGCTGAATGAATACAGACATTATGTGTGTTGATTGTGTGTTGTATATGTGTGTGTTTGCATACATTGTTTTGTGTGGGAGGAGATAGGGGATGTACTCCACGGTTTAGGGGAAGATAGGGGATGGACCTCTAAACCGGATTTTGTTTGGGAGGAGATAGGGGATGGACTCCATTAGCATCACTTTTATGTGTGCTTATTTATATTGAAGTGTTTTATTGATACAGCACTAAAATGTGTATCAAACTGGAAGTATGAAGTGTTTTGATTTGAGCCTGAGTCTCATCTGTTTGTTGACACTGGATGAATGTGAATATATTATGTATGGTTCACTGTTGTAAGATTGGCCAGGTTCTGAGCCATATTGACACTGTTGGAAAGTAAAACATGTCTTAGGCATTGGTGTCATGAAACTGCAAAATGATGTAATTGATTTTCTTGGTTAACCATCTATTGAATGCTATTGCTTTATTCAATGCTTATATTTGGTTTAGTATATTTCTACTGGGCTGTGGCTCACCCTTTATGGGAACATCATTTTCAGGTTCAGGTGATAAGCTACCTCCCAGGACTTAGCTTGGAAGGATTTGGATTTTGAAGATTATCTTTAGTTGTTTGTTTTTATTTGATAAATAATCAAGCCTAGGGCTTTATTTGTATTTGAGTTATAACTCATATTTTGTATCCAAGTGTTGGCTTGGAAAGATGTAAGCCCACAGGGCATTTAATTTGATGTTACATGTAACGTTTTTATTTAGTAATACTCTGAAGAATGAATTAATAAATTGTTTTCTTTAAGTAATGCGTGTTGATGATATTCATATAATGGGTTTATTTTGAGGGCGTTACAACTTAACTTCGGCCATCCTTTCCTACTCCGGCCAACCCCTTTTCACTCCAGCCAACCCTTCATTGCCACCCCATTCTCCTCATTTTCAATCAACGTCACAAGTCCCATTTTTATTGCGAAATCTTAATCTACCTTGCACTTCCCCCACAAAACCCTAACCTAGTCCCCTCTTCCATTGTGACTCCTCTCCGCGCTGTCCCTCTCACTAGTGTGAAACCCTCTCCCTATTACCAAAACCTTAAACCAACCCCCTTATCCACTCACAAAACCCCACCTAGGTGTCTACAATTTGCGAACTCCCTCTTACCACCCTCTACAACTTGTGAAATCCCCATGTTCCTTACCGACTACAACTTGAAAACCTCTCATTTTCCACCGGCACTACAAATCCTAGATCTAGGGTTTACAAGGAGAAATAATAAGAAGAAAATAGGAGTGGCAAACGACGGAAGGAATAGAATGAAAAGAAGAAAAAAAAATGGAAGATGGCAAATGACAAAGAGAAATAGAGGCGTATGAGAGGAGGTTGGTTTAAGGTGTGAGGTAATGTTGGAATTAATTGGGTAATTGTGGATGATAAATTTGTCTCCACGGGAGATTAGTTAAATGATGCACCTTGCCCCGAATCTTCCCTGCAAGAAAAACCCAAGGTCAGAAGGTCTCCTAGAGAACCCTCCAATGATCAAGTTAGCACTTAGATCGGATATAGTTATATGTTGAATACTCAATTTTTGATGTTGTCTTTGTGTATTGTTGTGCGTACCTGTGGTGATGTTGTGTCCTCCTTTTATAGCCAAATGGTGCTCAACTTGCAACTACTATAGGCCATTGGATATCCTATTTTCTCATCGGACGGACGATTCCTCGTTAGAGGTCACTTCATAAGATTGACCGAATTGCGATTGTTGTGGCTAATAATCATGATCACCTTTGGGTTTTCTCCAACCATTTAGAGTGTCTAACAAAATATTTGGGATACATTTAGAGGTTTTTTTTTTTTGGTCTATAAAGACAACAACAATTTGAAAGGTCTTATTACCCCTACCAATTTGTCTAATTATTTATGTGTCCATCTATTTATCCACATGTCCACTAATCTGTGCATCGTTGCTGTTGCCAATCGTGAGCAACATTCCCATGAGTCGCTAATGGAGGTGGTGGGCGATGATTTATAATAGTGTGCAAGTAGATATAGAAAAAGTACAAGGATAAAAATGAAAAAAAAAATTTGGAGATTTACCAATAAGTTCTATATCATTGACTTATGAACCATTTAGTTCTCAAGATTTTTTTATAGATAAAACAGTCCCCTTTTTTGTGTGAATTGACACATTTGCCCAAACTTTACTAAGTAGTATTGTATTTTTTTTTTTTTTTCCGTTTGTTGACAAATCTCACATAAGGCTCCCTCATAATAGGAATTCGAAATTTAGATTCCCTATTATGGAGAATACCACATCTCGATTCTGCAAAAGACGATTAAATTGACTCTTTCTTTTAGTGGGTAATACATAGAATTCAAACAAATACAGAGTCCCCCTCTTTGTCACAATTCATCGCCACATTATGCTTTGAGCTACCACTTCACAATCTACATAGTCGGGGAGGTGTTGTGAACGTGACACGTAAACAAATCACAAAATGAATTAGGGCAGTTGGCAATGTGAAACTGTGTAAGATGCCACCAAAAAATATGTAATCGAAATACACCCACAAAAATCACTCCCATTGCAATCATCTTTATCCACAAGTTATGAATGAACTGAATATTCCTATACATCCGCTGGGGGGTTCACATCAAGCAAACAAAAACACACATTTATTTTGAAATGCATGATATGAATATGACATGTCAACAATCCAAAAATCAAGATGAGAGCCCATTAATGTGAAAAATGTGCAAACAAAATGACCAAACAAAAAAACCCTTCCATTGCAACCCTGTTCGTGAGTTCTGAACGAACTCATAATGTGACCTTCAAAACCACCACATTCAAAAAAAGATTACCCTATACATACGGAAACTAAAACTCATTAATGAAAATAACAACGTTTATGATAGGGGTGTTCACAGTTCGATTGCGGTCGGGGAATCTTCAATCCGCTATCCGTCTGCCGGATTGGCGGATTGAAAAAGATCAGTCCGCATCCATCCGCCGGATTGACGGATGCGGATTGAGTAGATTGGCGAATGGATGCGAATCAATTTGACAGTTTAAACTTTTACAAATTTTAAATATAATACAACAACTTGTCAATATTTTTGTTTGGATAATAATTCAACTCAACATAACTAAAAGATTATTAAGTAAATTGTCAAATACCAATAATAAATACATATAAGAAAACCATACATTATCAAAAC